TGTGCAACCAGCAAAATGGGTGACCCATGCTCTAGAAACCTGTTTGGGCCGTGTATCATTTTCTTAGTAATACTGTAACAGGAAATAAAGCTTTGCAAACACGTTAACTGTTCTTGAGAATTATGAAGATCATGAAATAAATGCACCTAGAGATGTGCACTGTGCCCCACACTGACAGCTCCCCCGAGGTTTAAAGGGAACCGGGTCAGCAACGCAGCATGGCCAGAAGGCACCTTCTCCTGTTTTGCCACTCGGCTTGAGAAGCACGATGAGGGCATGGGCTTCTCCGTGCTCCATACGAGCGTCCGATAACAGTGAACTAACTGGGCAATCCAAGCTAAAAAGGGAAGTGGCAGCCTCTTGAAGTTTATCATTATCACGGCAGATAGAAACCATCCTCTTGTCTAGTACTATTCACTAAAATCACATTTTTCACAACAGAAACATTTCCAAGAGCCAACAACAACCTCTGCGATATGGGAAAATGAAAAGTAGTAAGCTTATTTCCATGGCTGAGAAAACACTTTTCAGAGATGGACACACTTATCTTGATTTCCCTGAATAATGAAGGGCTCGACACAGTGGAGGAAAAAACAATCTTCCCCCTTCACAGAGGAGAAATTAGCATAGTTCAAATTTCTTCACTTGTCAGGTTAAAAATTATTTAATTATTATTGTATTGATTATTGTTCTAAATCATTTCAGTAGGTGTATACAGTTGGCACAATACAAGCACAATGAAGCTTCACTTCTGATAGTTTGTATTATTTACCCAGCATACTTAAGTAGCTTCATTTAAACTTTATGTAAGAACAGCTGCTCTAAGAAAATTTCTGTGCACAAGAAAAAGTGCGTATACTTAGAGAAACCATTTTTTCTATTTACATTCCATTCTTCTAAAAAAAAAATCACAGTCACCAATCTCACAAAAGAAGTTCAACATCTAAACGTAATTATACTGAACATGGATAAGTGACTTCAATCAGGACTTCTGTATTTATAACACCATCTATGTTCCACATCCGAGAGTTTAAGCATTTCGAAGTCTTCCTGGGATTCTCCATCCAGACAGGTACCCTTCATTACGCTTTGGGAGATTCACTGCATTTAATTAATTGGCTGTGTTTTTTAAGGTTTAACCTACATTTGCGAAGTCAGTTCTTTAATTAAAAGAGGAAAGCGCATTACTCTCCAAAGGTAGGTGAAGGCTGCCGTTCTCTAGAAAGTCCATCGACGGCGACGTCACTAGAGAACCTGCCCACGATGAAGGCAATCCACCTCCTTGGGATGGAAACAAGGCCAACGGCTTCCTAGGGGCTTGCTTCCTACTTTTAAACTGTACTAACACGGCTCCACATACCCAGTACAGTGGAACCTCTAGGGACTTGCACGAAAACATAGTTCATGTAACTCTGCGGTCAAATCTCTACCCTCCAGTTCAGCTCATCTGGAATCCACGAATAAACTGACAAACAAAATATCAGAGTTGACAAAGGATATTAAGCAAATCTGGCTAGGTCCAAGTTAAGAAAGATGGTCGAGATTTAGAAAAAATGTTCCACCTTCTTCTTATAATAAAGTTTGCTTTCTGATTCTTCGGATGTAGTCAGGAAGGTAAAGGAGCACCCCAGAGGCTACCAGAGGTGGATGGGGAACCTTTTCCCTGTCAAAGGCCCTCTGCAGGCCACAGCTTATCCACTTCAAAATTAGCTTGCTACAGCTGCACTGAACTTCAAGTTCTGTCTGCTGCTGCCTTGACAGGGCCACACCAGATGATTTTGTGGCCCTTTGTACAGGCTGGGCATTCCTCATCCTTAAGCAGTCACTATGGGGTTCACTGAGTTTCAAATGCAAACAGATGCATTACCTAGTTATATCCATACATGTGTGTGCATGCATGAGTGTGTGTGCATCATGCGTATGTTCAACGTATATTCTATCTGGAAATCAAGAGGCATCACTAGGACTGAGCATACTAGGGCTGGCCTTTGGGTACGGACAGGATCAGCTGTCAATCATTAGCTCCATGTGGCAGACGGTCCCTGTCCGTCAAGCACGGCTTCCACACAGGTATCTCTGGTTTGGCTGGGAGTTCACGAAAGGGAGATGATTAGCCAGATGCCAGTCCTCCTGGGACTTTCCGCTTGTGTTTGTTTTTATTTCACTTTGTTTCTGTGGGGTGGGGGAGGGGGTACGATGCATATACTATGGAAAACCATGCTTCTAAAATGCACACGTCAGTGGTTTTAGTATATATACAACGTTGTGCAATGATCCCTACCACTTGACTCCAGGAATACTGGCATCATGCTTCGGGTTTAAATACATAAATTTATACCAACAGTACTTCATCTCTTTCTTGAAGTTCACTGAAATTTAAGAACTGAGAAAAAGTAAGGACAGTGCTAGGAGTGTATCCTGAGAACATACGCCATAAAAGCAGACACACACAGGTTCAGGTGGATAACAAGAAGCCTGAGTGCTGAGAGCCAGCTCTGCGTGACTGGGTCTTTACTGTCACCTCTGGTTTTCCTGCCACAGCCTTTTCATGAATGCCACTATGCTCAAGAGAGGGAATCAAGCTGAAATCTCTCCTAGAGCCTCTTACTGTATGGTATTTCTGGGCTTTTTGCTTTGTTAATTCTCACAACCTTTTTAAGTCTCTTGCCATATGGACAGCTACAACGTAGACTTGACATTTTAAGATTTTTTTATTTGAAAGGTAGAGTTACAGAGGGGGAGGGAGAGAGGGAGGAAAAGAGGAAGGTAGAAGGGGAGAGGAAGAGGGAGAGAGAGAATCTTCCGTCCATTGGTTCATTCCCCAAATGGCCAAGCTGAAGCCAGGAGCTTCATTCGGGTCTCCCACATGGGTGCAGGAGCCCAGGCACCTGGGTCATCCTCTGTTGCTTCCCCAGGCACAGCAGCAGGGAGCTAGATCGGACATGGAGTAGCTGGGACATGAACCAAACTGGCACCTATATGGGATGCTGGCGTTGCAGGCGATGGCTTAACCCACTGTGCCACAATGCCAGCCCCTAGAAGTGGCATTTTAAACAGTGTGGATTCTAAAGGCTGAGGAGGGGTTTTTACTGAAATGGTGCCAGTTTTCACGGAGTGCCCTCAGATATCTTCGGAGTGACTCACAAGAGTCTATGTGAACTGGGCTCCCAAGTCAAGATCTATGAATTGTAACATGCTCGTTCCAGCACAGACATCTTATTCTTGACAGGATTAAAATTAGAAAATGTTACAAGGTATTTTCTGAGACACTTTGCTGCATTAATTAAGCTAACTACAGTTAGCCTCTTAAACTAGATATTGATCTCATCTGAAAGATCAAATGTGTTGATGGCTGGAAACTATGTTGTCAATAGCCACTTTGAAAATGTAATTCTAATTAGAGGACAATCATTTTAAAGCCAAGAATATCACCAGGACAAATGCCTAGACAGTATTACGAGAGGATACAAACATTAGTTAGACATTGTAGGGACAAGCTATGATAATCATCCCAAAGAAACAGAAATAAAGGGCGTCTGGTTTGTACGTGCAGGAGGGAACAGCCCTCAGAAGTAGCATCTGTTGTCAAAGGAAAGCCCAAACCAGCTTCGTTTCTACTCTGCTCCCTCAGTAAAATTCCGCACACTAATGATCTTACATGTTGGAAGTGCTTTAAGAATCACATGCATGTTACCATCTACACTTACCTGCTTTGACAAGGGATCTGGGGCGCCGCAGCAAGCCAGCGGAACCTGATTTCAACAGCACAAGTTTGACCTCTCAGTTCCCTCTTTCTAACAGGAAGGCATTCTTCACAGACTACTCACGGTGGCGGTGGCGGCAGCGGGAAAAAATGAGAATGATAGAGCGGGAGGAGGGCCTCACCTTGGCCCTGGGCTAACCTTTATGAGGGCTGCCCCTCATGTCTGCAGCGGCACACTACACGACTTACATTACAGCTGGTCCCTCTGAGGGCACAGTGCTGGTGGGGGTGAGCCTCCACCGGCACCTGTGAGCACGCTCTCTGTTCTATGTGTAAGTGTCCCCCACAGCAGTGCGTGGGACTCTGTCCTTGGCTCTTCAGCCAGTGCTCTGCACATGGGGACACACATGATGGTGGACTGCTGAGTTGCAGAGGAGGACCAGTGCAAGGTGCAGGCGCAGAGCCACAGACGCTGAAACTATTCTAGCCATTCTTGGGTAATTCTTAACGGTGTGCTTCATAAAACCAGTCACACCTGTCTAATGAACACCAGCTATGGGCCGAGTCTTTCGCATCCAAGAACCCTCACCCTCACGGCAACCCATCACGGAACTGCGCACACCACATGCTGTGCAGGTGAGGAAGAAGCTCCACGACTAGACCGAGATGCTGCGTGGCGGCAGACGTGTTCCGAATCCCAGGCTCTTTCCTGAACTCAGGTGCGTCTGATGCCAACACCCCATACACTCCTCCCACCATGCTCCTCTGCATGCAACCCAGGCCATTCGATTCAGCAGCAAGGACGTACAGCGTGCCTGTGCCGCCCATATCCGGCTTTCTGACCTCATAAAGATGGCTGCAGTTACAGGAGTGAAGTCAGCCCCCAAGGGTGACTTCATTAGCAACGCCACCACAGCACTTTCTCAGGCAGCACACTGGCCCTGGTTCCCAGTGCTGAAAATACAGTGTTCTCTTGTCTTAGGGTGCTGACTGCAAAGACAGGGAACCGCTATGCACCTGCTGAGTCTGAAGAATTAAAACAGGCTGCAGAGAGAGCATAATATTACACTTGGGAAAAATAAGTTGGGAATCAGTGTTTCCTGACACCGAATCCTGGGCACGGTGCTGCTACTTAGCACTCCAGAGATCTATTTCCATGAATGGCCCCATTAAAAAAAAAATGCCACAATTAAATAAGACGTTACACTGAAATCACGCTGATTCTGAAACCGCATCCTATAGCCAAATGCCGCTGTCATTCATGAATTTGTGGAAATAAGAGCTGCAATAAACACCATTACTGTGCTTGATATACCTTCGTGATTTTTATTTTTACTTCCAAGTACGTAAGTTTGTATTGTTAACAGTTGCAAAAGACATAGGTAAGTGTGAAACATCCTTGTGCCAGTCTTGCAACAGTTCACCTTCTAAAAGTCTCTGTGGATGGGGCCATGCACAGCTAAAACAGTACTTTGCCATTTTTCTCTTTTTCTTATTTTTGAAAGTAGAAAGCCACTTTCTTTGCTTTTCCCTCTCCTTCTCTCAGCTTCTTATGAAGATTCTCAGTACAAATGCAACAGCTGGCGTTACCTACAAATATACAAACTGAAAGAAAAGAAATATTACGGTTGGCTACTTGGGAGGATCCTAAAATGAAAGCACACCTGGACAGTTAGCGTAACCTGAGCCACTCGGGAGCAGAGGCCACGGAGCTCGCCAGAGCCGCTGCTTCAGGGTGCAAACAAAGGAGCGCTCTGGCCGGGGCGCGGCGTCTCCCATACCTTGTATCTGTCCATCGGGTCCTCCTGCTGCAGCTGGCTCTCTCGCATGGTCTGATACTCCTTCTCATATTTCTTCAGCTTCTTGGTTGGGACCTGCAGAGACAAGAGGGAATGCGTGTCAGGTGAGAACGTCAGTTAGGCAAACACTTTCTGGTATATTTCCCAGTGAAGTTTCTGGCATTCTAGGAGATGCCCAACTCAAAATGAGCCCCCTAATCTAGAGCAACTTCCTGCACAGGTGCAGACGGTCCACATCTGGGTCCTGTGGGTGACACGGTCTAGGAAGCAACCTTCAGTCCTGTTATTCGGCACGGAAGTCGTCGCGGTGCTAAGCACGTCGGGGCAGCTGTGCGCCAACAAGGTTTTATCTGTAAGCACCGGCTGCGGTTTGTTCACCTCTGTCCTGTGATGCTGCTGATGCTGCAACTTTTTTCAGGTTAACAATTTAATGCTGCTGGCAATTTTAACTACCTTTGCTTCACAATAAAGCATAGCTTTCCATGTTGAAAGTGAAAGTTATTATTTTATAGAAATAAAACCGGGCAACAAGAAAATTTTAACGATGGAATTAAGGTACCAAAAATAAAAACATAAAATTTGACACCAAAAAAAAAAATACAAGTTCATTCTGCAATATGGGATAATAAAAGAAAAAAAAATCACCTGAACAACTCATCTATTCCTTGCTAAAACTATCATCGTCAAAAGACAATAGTTAACCTTTTTTGAAAGCACACTAGCATATTGGGAATTTCTGAAAGTAACTGAGGGTAGCATGGCATAATGGGCGGAGAACTTGGCACTAGACAGACCTGTTTTTTAAGCATGTAATCCCTTAGCAAACAGGGACTCTTCTCTCTTAGTGTCAGTTTCATTCTTTGTAAAATAGCAGGTAAATAAATGTTTACCTCATAATGGCTGTCAGTAGAATTAAAGGTTTAACGTGGGTGAAGGATCTAATTCCCTCAGGGCTGGCCGTGTGGTGTACTGATTTAACTTACTGCTTACCCTACACTCATCTCATGTTGGAACACCAGTTTGAATCCCAGCTGCTCTGCTTCTGATCAGCTCCCTGCTAATAAGCAGCAGGGGATGGTCCAAGCGCTTGGGCCCCTGTCACCCACATGGGAGACCTGGATGAAGCCCCTGGCTCCTGGCTGCAGCCTTGCCCAGCCTTGACTGTTGTGGCCATCCAGAGGGTAAACCAGCAGATGGAAGGTCTCTCTCCCTCTCTGTCATTCTGCCTTTCAAATAAATAAATAATTAAAACAAATACAATGCCTGATTCTTGGAAGTTTTTTTTAAATTGTATTTTTAAGTATTCAACTGAAATTGATGTGTTATATTCTTTTTTTTTTTTTTTTTTTGACAGGCAGAGTTAGTGAGAGAGAGAGAAAGGTCTTCCTTCCATTGGTTCACCCCACAAATGGCTGCTACGGCGGGCGCTGTGCCGATCCAAAGCCAGGAGCCAGGTGCTTCCTCCTGGTCTCCCATGCGGGTGCAGGGCCCAAGCACTTGGGCCATCCTCCACTGCACTCCCTGGGCACAGCAGAGAGCTGTGCTGTAAGAGAAGCAACTGGGACAGGAGGATTATCCCCGAGAGCCCCGGCACCCGCCCATATGTGATATTTCACACTGTGCCGAGTACACAGTGCACAGTGAGAGTTTTCTCAGACAACAATAATGAGACACATTCGTTTTAAAACCCCGAGTTTCCCCTATAATACACCGCATGTGTTTTTGATGTGAAATGAAACAAAACCGGGCTTTTGTTTGGTTTTTCAGATTGCACGCGTGCTGGAGTGGCATCTGGCACAGAGATGAAGCCCCGCGGGAGGTTGGGGACGCCCGCATCCCCTACCGGAGTGCCTGGGTTTGAGCGCCTGCTCCACTTCTGCCCCTGCTGCCTGCAAACGCACACCTTGGGAGGCAGCAGGTGTTGGCTCAAGTACGTGACAGACCCAGATGGAGTTCCTGGCTCCTGGCCTCAGCCTGGCCCAACTCTGGCTGTTGAGGGCATTTGGGGATTGAATCAGGGGATGGGAGTTCTCTCTCTCTCTCTCTCTCTCTCTCTCTGCCTTTCAAATGGAAATAAATAAATACAACTTAAAAAAAAAACACAAACATACAGCTTTGATGACTTCATAAGAATTTAATGATGGCAAAGACGATGGACTGATGTCTTCAATATCCACCAAGATACCTGGCAAAGTACTTGGCACATCGTCGGCCCTCAAAACATGGTTTGCATGTTATTTTTTAAGATTTTATTTATTTATTTGAGAGGTAGAGTTACAGACAGTGAGAGGGAGAGACAGAGAGAGAGGTCTTCCATCTGTTGGTTCACTCCCCAAATGGCTGCAATGGCCAGAGCTGCACGGATCTGAAGTCAGGAGCCAGGTGCTTCTTCCTGGTCTCCCATGCGGGTGCAGGGCCCCAGCACTTGGGCCATCCTCCACTGCCCTTCCGGGCCACAGCACAGAGCTGGACTGGAGGAGGAGCATCTAGAACTAGAACCCGGTGCCCATATGGGATGCCAGCACTGCAGGTGGAGGATTAACCTACTGTGCCACAGCACCGGCCGGTTTGAATGTTTTTTTATAGATTGATTTTATTTCTTTGAAAGGCATAGTGACAGAGAGGGAAACACACAGAGAGAAAGAGTGTTCCATCCACTGGTTCCCTCCCTGAATGGCTGCCACAGGCAGGACAAAGGCAAGAACCTGAAACTCCTTCTAGGTCTCCTACATGGATGGCAGGGGCTCAAAACCAGGGTCATCCTCAGCTGTTTACGGAGGTGCATTAGCAGGGAGCCAGATCAGAAGCGGAGCAACGGGAACTTAAACCAAGGCTCCGATATGGGTTGTCAGTGTCGTAGGCAGAGGCTTAACTGGTTGCGCGACAATGCCAGCCTCAGACTGTTTCTTCTTGAGCTAAAAATATGGTATTCAGAAAAGATGTATATGTGTGTTAGGAGACAGCAAAACAGACGGATAGCACCCAGCGTGAATATAAAATTATCTTACAGTGTTCTGCAATGAGGATAATTTCAAATCTCTAACCAGAGAGTTTGTTAAATGAAAAAAAATAAAGACACCAGGTGTCATTCTCTAGTTTATTCTCATTACTCTGTTGTTACCATCCAAGATCACTCTGAAGTACTGTAATTATCTACTTCTAACCACAAATGGGAAGCTTCATGAATTCAGTATACAAACCACTGGACAAGCACATTAGGAGAATATTCATTTGGCTGACGGGGGAAGTGTCTCCCCAGTTAAACAAACAGTGAGGACATTTTCCAGGGTGGAACTGAATTGCAAAATACTGTGCATATTGCCATGAGAGACGCTACTCCTCATGACTGGATCCCCAGAGACATTCCAGAGTCCACAGTGACCAAATACAGCGTGAGAGAAAGGGAAGCACCACCCACCTACAGAGAGAAAGGGAAGCACCACCCACCTGCAGATCAGCATAGAGGGGAACGCACATGATCACGTGGTAACAAAACAACAATATAATTTTTCTTGATTGTGATAGTACCCTTAACTTCCTATAGCTTTCTTTTCTCTATATGCAGTAATCATATACCCAGAAAACCAAAAATAGATTTTCAAGATGAAGTGGCAAATCACTAGCACTGAAATAGCCCTGGATGTGGCAGGGTTTTAAGCCGTGATGAGGTGTTTCAAATGTCTCCTTAGGCACAGGACGGGGCAGCTAAAGTACTGTGAAGCCAGAGTCTACTCTAGTGCCTTTAGCCCAGATTGTTGAGTTTTTACATATTTTTTCAACTGGAATACCACACCACCAGGTACCAGGCTGAATACAGCCCAGTGTTGAAGCATTTTCAACATGGTTCTAAAACAGATCGGGTCATCAATGACGGAATTACATATTGCAAGCTTGAGAGAGAGAGAGAATTCTTCTAAAACCATATTTTTAAATTCAAACTATGTTACTTTTTTTTATCATGTAAAAGAATGCCCCTTTAAAAGTCAATCTTGCTACTTAAGAGGTTCATTTCAAAGTGAGATTCTTATAAAAAAAAAAAAATGAATTCAACACTCTCAGTAAGCTAATCCTTTCCCATCTGGCTGGGATTCTAGGATGTTGGGCTTCATCTTGTTGAGGCAAACAGAGCAGGTTCCCAGAACAATACGTTGCTAGGAAACCTTCCAAGCTTATTTATCTTGTGCTGTGGGGTGATCCTGAGCATCCACCTGTGACTGGCACAACAGGAACGCAGGGGGAAGAGGGTGGAGGAGGAACAGACAGAGAGTTGAAACGAAACTCTCATTACTTACAAAATAAAGGAAACGGACTTTCAGCTTTTAAAATTATTTCAGGACAGAATTCATTTTATTTTATTTTAGGGACTGGAATACTGAAGCTTAAAATTTTCTTATTGGAGAAAGGAATAAAAATATCTCTTGACTATGTAGTTTTAATTAAAAGAATGAAAGTCACTAAGAATTATTAGAACTGAAATAATCTATACCTCTGGAGGCGTGTAGGCATTTCTCCCTTTAAGTTACGTTGCAGATGTGAAGATGTGTTACGAGTCACTGGTACCTGTAAGTGTCTAGGTAATTTTGGGGTCCTGTTCTACCAACTGCCCACCTTCCGCCTTCCCAGCACTTCCTAATTTCTTAAGTTCAGGAAATGTCCTTAAATAATCCAAAATTGTTTGATGAGTGCAACTGATGGGCCCTCACTTTGAAATGCCGATGATCACAATCAAACAGAAAAAGACAACGGGACAGCCGCCCCGGCAGGACACCCCTCGTGAGTGACAGCAGGACAGCCGCCCGGGCAGGACACCCCTCGTGGGAGTGACAGGACAGCCGCCCGGGCAGGACACCCCTAGTGGGAGTGACAGCAGGACAGCTGGCCGGCAGGACACCCCTCGTGGGAGTGACAGCAGGACAGCCGCCCGGCGGGACACCCCTCGTGGGAGTGACAGCAGGACAGCCGGCCGGGCAGGACACCCCTCGTGGGAGTGACGGCAGGACAGCCGGCCGGGCAGGACACCCCTCGTGGGAGTGACAGCAGGACAGCCGGCCGGGCGGGACACCCCTCGTGGGAGT